ACTGCATTTGTGCTGCTCAATGATCCACTTGCTGCAATATCTTTAAGCTGACTTTGAGTCAGCTTAAAGATATTGCAGCAAGAATGTGTTGAGAGTGAAAACCTTCCTTTAAATGTATAGGAAACACAGCAATGTATCAACATTCAGTTAAGTGAAAAATAATCAATGCCTAAGTAGAGTTAATCCAGAACTTGAATCACAATGGCAAAGAATCATGCAGCAGCCACAGATTATCCCATATTAAATAAATAACCCCCTGTCAGAGAGAAGCACGTTCAATGCAAATCTAAGAAATGGTTAGTACCGTTATGTTTTACATTAGCGTTCTATCTTCCAGCATGTGTCAGCACATAAGTGTTCATGTGTGCCCAAGTACATGTGCATGAATATATTTTAGCCTATAAGCATATGGTATTGCAAATTCATAGGCCTAACATCAAAGAGAGATCTGCCTTTACTCAACTACCATACATGAGATGAAAACATTACGGATTACTTTAGGCATTCATGATTCACATTCCATTCATCAAGCTATCTGCCAATACTTCCAATGTTTCAGCTACAGAATAAATGAATATGATAAAGCCATACAAAAGTAAAACAATCTGAATTCCAGACAAATCTTTGGTGTGATTTGACCACCTGGCTGACAGAGCCGGAATGGCTGAAGGCTGACTAGTTTACAACCTCTGCAGATCAACTCTCATGTAACAGCCAGAAAACCAAACTCTCCCCCTCACATACCGATGCAGATCTAAGATCTGTCTCTGCATGTATCTTCTTAGTACTGAAGTGCAGAGAGCACAAACGTGTGTTTTCATGAATGACAGCAGGTGCAGAAGTATACAGTTGCTGTCTTCTATACCAAAAGGTGGACATTATAGGTTTTAATGTGCTAAAGGTGGCACAAGTTTTCTGAGTCAAGTAGTGGATGTCAATGTTAAAAACATCTGCAGAAATATAAAAGAGCCTTAGATTTAACTTGACAGTTAAAAGTGTCCCTGAGTCAATCCAAATGTTTCTGAAAATATTGAAGTTTAAGCATGATGTACCTCTACATAAATTGCAAAAATACCAGGGGCCTCATTTATAACGCCGTGCGTAGGATTCACGTGGGAATGTTGCTTACGTAGTAGAAATCCAAAAAATAGGTACAGAAATGTTCCGACATTTTCGGATTCACCAAACATTGCGTACCGTCGAGGAAAGTGCGTACAGCACTTCCTACGCCGGTTTCCCTTTATAAATCACAATCGACTCGAAATGCGGTGCAGCTTTTGCGGGCTTCACGTAACGCCCATATTTGCCTATAAATAGTCAAAGAAACGCCCATTCATTCATTCATTTTGACTGACTTTATGAAGAAGATAGCAGGAAATGACGACAGAACAGCTAAAAAATACATCTCACACGTGGCCCCTTCTCATTTCTCTAACTCCCCTCCTCGACTCCTATCCTCGATACTTAGTCCCGCCCACAGGAGATGCGAGCGGAGGAGCCGAGGAGGGGAACCGAGGAGAGAGGAGGGGAAGCAGCAGGCGGTTAGAGAAATGAGAACTCCTCTCCTCTGAGCGGTCATTTGAAAGAGACGTCCATTAATGATGACAGGAGGCACAGCAGCCCTCTGTCTGATGGACAGATGTGTTCATGACCACTTATATATTTACTTTTAATTCATTCACAGTGCGGTATAATGAGACAACAGGCTACAGATGCGGACACACGCACACACACATATTTGTATATATTTATATAAATATATACAATTTCAGAATCAAACAGAGCACTCTCATAATAACGTAACACTATCAGAGACTGGATATATCCCCCCCCCTCTCTGGTCGCTACAATGAGGAAAATAAATTACGGGCCAAAAGTTTTATTTACAAGTATTAAAAGTAAGCAGAGGACACCAAACCAACTGAGACCTGTATGTCCGCTGCATCTACGCACACACTGTATAACACACACACACACACACACACACACGCACACACACACACACACACGGACATACAGTTCCTAAAACAGGCTACAGCCGTTGTGTATTTTATTATGTGAAGCACTAAATGGTTTTAGAAAAATATCGACTCTTTGTTTGTAGATATCTACTAAACTAAAGCAAATAAAGAGAGTAGGCCTGTTATACTGAGTGATATATATTTTACACACTGCTCTGCTTTCTGCACGGACCTCACAGCTGTTTTACTGTAAACGTCGCGTCGCGATGAAAGCCGTTAATAAAATAATATCCCCAAACGTGCGTCACGACTCTTTGAAACATCTCTGTTCCCGGAAATGCATCCACGAAGGAGCCGTGGAGGACCCATCAGTGTATCCTCGGTTAGAGCTCCTCCAGAGAGCCTCCTCGATGCTCGACGCTCGGTCCTCGAAGTGCATTTAGAGAAATGAGATGTCCTTCAACATGGCGCGCTGAAATTCATTTCCGGGTCACTACCGGAGGACCGAGGAGTCGAGGAGTCGAGGAGGGGGATTTGATGAAATGAGAAAGGGCCCGTGTCAGATTTTGGTTATTTTGGGGAGGTCGAGATAGTTTGGTGGATGCCGTTTGAACCAGAGTAGCAGCATGGAGGTCGGATCGTCACCAAAATAAATTAATAAGTGGTCCGAAAAAGGTTCTTGACAAAAAAATTACACATAGCCTTCCTCAGGCAGTGTGTTTGTACCGGGGACAGGAGACACCCCCTTGATGAGAGACTGTAAGAAATGATCGGGGAATCCCTCCGGAGTGGAGTCATGACTACTGGATCTGAATTATGTTTTCGTATTTGGTGGTTTGTGTCCCAGCTGTCGATCAGCTGTGCGCAGCGTCTCCACTGCAGCAACTCTATATCCACCAGTTAAAGGATATACAACTAATGTGTTGTGTTATATTAGCTGTACAATTTACCACATATGGTGTTCTTAGTTTCCATACCTCCTGTGTTTTATGAGCGACTTATCAAGTCTTAGCAAACGGCATAAAACATGATTAAACATGGTAGTATAAAACCATGCTCGTACAACCTATAGAAATGCAAAACCGCATCATTTGAGAAAACATTTCATAACATTAACACAACATATTCGAGGTGGTTTTAAATAACATATCCGTATTTATTTATTTCTCCAAGTTATGTTTGTGTGTGCACTGAGGAATCTCAAACAGGCGTGTGTTTAATCAAGATTGGCTTTAATCAATGTTTGAAAATGAATTCTTCATATGATAAATGAGAGGTAACATTTTATTTATGGTATTATTTCAACATATTTCTCTCCATTCGTCCTTCTGCCAACGCGGTGTCGCAGTTTCTCGTCTCTCCCGTTGTTGTGCTTAGTGCGTACGCATGGGTTAGAGTTTGCGTGGAGGACCGCACCTTTTCCCGTCAAGTTAGTATTTTATAAATCGCAAACATTGCGTAGAAACTGGCGTACGCCATTTTTTGAGCGTATATCCCTTTATAAATGAGGCCCCAGGAGCATACAGCCTCGCTAACAGCAGTGTTTTGAGGTAAATGCTAATATCAGCATGCTGATTTTTCGAGGGAATAATATTTACTATGTTCACCATTTCCGTTTAGCGTGTTAAGATGCTAACATTAGCTAATAGGGACATAACAGGTGAGGATGATGTGACTTACATGTAGAGGTATTTGGTCTTAAACCATAATTGGACAAACATTTGGCATGATGGGGACGCTTACTGTATAAAAAGTCAGGCAATCACCAAAGTCACTGCAATTCATCCATCTTGTATCATATCAGGCCTGTACAAAATGTCATGGCCATAAATATAATTGTTCTTCTGGACGTGATGGACTGCAAATCCCAGCTCATTCCAACAATCCTGCAGGACATTTCTACAACGCCTGTGATCATAAGCTAGACTCAGACACTTAGATAACATGCTTGCAATGATCCCGCGTCAAGAAAAACATGTGCACAGCACTCCATCCATCACTCAAAGCATGCTGGGATCACAAGCACTTTGTCCAGCCTCGCCGAGGAGGAAATGTGTATATTGTGTCCGAGGCCTTAAGTTTATCACTGCCCGAGAGGATTCAATAATGTTACAAAACGAAGTTTGCTGTCTCTGGCCCTGATACTCCCTCTCTGTTCCCTATCTCCCTTCCTCACACACACTCACTCACACATCACATGCCCTGCAAGTCTAACTGCATGTCAGCTATTTCTACATAATGGCATTTTCCACCTCACCACTTCACAGAATGGATGATCCCCGTAGGTAGAAAACTGGTACAGTGAAGTGGCACATACACACTGGAATGTCAGAACTGCAATGTATGATAGCCCATGTCTTCGGTGCAATTAAATACAGATCTACAGTTAAAACACACACACAAATACAATCACACTCAACGCATGTCCTCTTAATGTCACTTTGCATTCGCAGTCAGACAGCACAGACAAGTCCATGCATGGGAAACATCCACAATTCATTCTTCATAGTTTCATCCTCTTGCTAACAACCTGGTATGTTATTATTATTCATGAATACACTAGAGCTCACATGACTGTGAAATCCATGATATCTTGTTTTATGCTCCTATTGAGGTTGGAGGTGTAACATATTTGCATTACCTTCTGCAGAGAAGCACATGAGGATGCCCAGGACTTCTGCACTACATGGTCTGAGTGTGAGATTCTAAGTGCATGTTCTCAAACTCAGTGGAATGCACATTTGCAGAAATTACTGTAGTTTATCACATAAAGGCACATCAGACAACAAAGAAAATGGGCAACCAGCAAGCACTAATATCAGGCGGCAATGCTGTTTAAGGAGAAATTGTACTGCAAGGAACAACAGTAAAGGCTAAGTATCACAAGTGTTGGCCTAGGTCCAGACACTTAGGCTGTAACAAGGGTGTCTGGGCAGTTAAGAATTCAAAACTACTCAGTAAAGCACCATATTAAAGTGCAGTTAAAGTAATGGGTTTTGACTATATGGCACTGAAATGGGCCCACACAATCTCACTTACCACTGCAGACAAGTGAATCATTATTATCTTCCCAATCCAGGTGACCTCTTGACGGTCGAGAGGAGAGAAAATATCCACTGAAAAACACAAAAAGGTTTCATCCAAGTCAGGGGAGTTGAAAAAAAAGAAGTCTGGAATTGATAATGTATTCCTGCAGAAGGTGTTATCAGAGATAATCGACTGAATGGTACATGAGAATCAATGTGTGTGTCTGAGTGAAGGAGGAGGCGGCTGTGTTTGGTTGTGTGTAAGGGTGGATGAATAACAGACGCTTTTTTTCTGGGCTCTGCTGCAGAAAAGTTTGGGAAGAAGGGTGGAGGGTGAAGCTGCTGCAACCTGTTGGCTCAAAGAGACAGAGAGAAAAAAAGAGAGAGGGAGAGAGGTGGGGAGTTACTGATGAGCTCTGACCCGGCGAGGAATGCATTGCTACTGTTCTCATTGCATGTGTTTCGTGCATCGAGCCAAGTTTTTACCCCAGGGTAATAGAATAAGCAGTTGGGTGAAAACAATGCTAAGGTTACGTCTGCCATCCCCTATATTCATACTGTAAGCTGAATCAGACTAGTTTTGGAAATCCACCAAATAATGCCCTGGATACACACTGACTTGCAGACAGAAGGCACCTCTTGAACAATCTCTATAAATAGTGACGGAAATAATATACAAGATTGGACTTATGAGTGACCCAGTCTTTTACTGCTGGTTTCATTTGGCTGTTAAAGTAAAATAGTTTAATGGTGATTTAAACTACATTTGCACACTACATCAACACAATATCCTCTTCACAATAGATAAACAAATAGGTAAAAAAGCATATGATAACACCAATAACACACAAGGTCATGTTTGAGCATGACCTCTGGAGTAAAGGTTTGTATACTCACACATAAAGACAACACAAATAGCTTGTTTAGCAAACACCGTCTGAAAACAGAAAGGAGAGGCAGGGTGATAAATCTGTCATGTTTTACTAGCTGCTCTCAGTAGGTGTGTTCCTCGCTCTGTGTGTCTGTGTGTCATGGGGCATTGGGTCACCTTTAATGGTGGACCCCAGGAATGTGGTGACTAGTTTATTAGGGTTTGGCCAGCTGTCAGTCTTGTCATGCTATAACTCAACTCATAAACACTAACTCTGATGCAGACAACGGTGGTCGTTTTGGCTGATATGCTGATTTTGATGGTGTACAGATGAGAAGCCTTTGCAATGTATATTGTAAGGTGTCCTTGGGTGCTTTGAAAGGCGCCTCTAAATAGAATGAATTATTCTTATTATTATGTATATTCTACAGCATCCATTCCCAACCTTTACAGGGATCCGGAGTGACAATGGATGCTGGAGTTGTCTCTATCTGTATTCCTCTGTAAATGCATCAGCTCTTCCCACAACATTTTACAGGATCTGTAAAAAGCCTGAGAAAAGCATGTGTTGCATACACAGAAACATACAAACCATTCAACAAAAGTACATCTAACAAAGTGCAACAATTAAACCCGGTGGATTAAGAAATAATAAAAAAACTTTGACGATTCAGTCTTTTACTAGAAAATCCTATTTCCTTCTCTTGCAATGAGACATAACAGTCTGATTAAACCTCAAAGCTATAGGAAACTTATGTCGAATAATTTCCCGTATTTCCCGTATGCTATGACATGGGTAGTACATCACATAGTGAGAGCATTTCAATTATTGCAAAGGAGGCATGTTTTAAATACAGAATGTTATTGTAAATGTCTACTCTGCAGACTTAATGGTTCAAATTGTAAACTTCTTTCTTCTGCTTTCATAAATATGAACAATGTCAGCAAAGTGACAGCTATATCAGGCACCTTTTTCCTATCCTTCCAATTTTATAGCATGCTGACCTACGGTTGAGGTTACTACAGTTTGTTGAGGTGTGTCAGAATCAGTGACTGAGTGTCAGACGTCAATGTGTGAGGCCTCCCTTCACATCCAGTTTTGCACTAATATTGAAGGATTTTCTATCAGTGCTTCTCGCCGGCGCAGCAGCAGAGCAGCTCCAATCATAAAACATGAGGGACTACTCCAGAGAAGGTGATATATTGACGTAGAGTAAAAGGTGGCATATTGTGGTTTGGCCTCAGGGCTGTCTGAGTTACGCACTGCCCTGCTGCTGACCCTCAGCAAATGTTAAGGAAGTTCAGGAGGGTGCATCAATCAGGACCACTCTTCCTGAGCATTCAAAGGTGAGTTTGTCCCTGTGAGTATATTTCTCTGTATAGCACAGCAGTGTGGCTAATGCTGAAATGCAAAAATGAGCCTCAGTGTGAAGAAAATATCTTGTCAATTCCATTGTGCATTGGCAGTGCCGGAAAAATAACTCAGGTCTTTAAACTTGTGTAAAAGTAGCAATATTAAATTGATAAATACATTGTTACAAGTAAAAGTAATTTATAACCTTACTTTTGTAAAAGTACAGATGAAGTGGCATCAAAAGTACTTATGTGTAATAGCCCATTTCATAATCATACGTTAAATGGAGCTCGTTTTAATTACTTTCTATACTGCAGCTTAATATCTTAAAAGTAGATCATGGTTATTTATGAGGAATTTTTAAATAAAATGTATTAATGTATATTTAGTATAAGCCAATAATCAGATTCACTAAAGGTCACTAAATATGTCAAACAAATTAAGTGGAGTGCAAAAGGTAAAACATTGACTTCCAAATTGCAGTGGAGCAGAAGTATAAATTATCATAACATGGAAATAGCCAGGTGGAGTACAAGTACCTCAAAATGTTACTTAAGTACAGTACTTGAGTAAACGTTACTTTCCACCACTGCACTTCAGAGAACACAGCCTAAACCGGTCTGTACCACATAAACACATTGTAAATATTATCCACTCTATTCTTAATAGACTCATCTTGCTTAATAACATTTCATGGGCGAATAAGCCTAACGATCTTTCAAGAGCAGGTGTGATTATGAATAAAAGGTGTTTTGGACCTGTTAGGGTATATCAGATGGGGAATATTAACAAGCCTTGTCTCAGCTAATTGCACCCTTTTGCAAACTGGGCCTAAATCCCCCCTAGTCAAGAGAGGTGTCCGCACAAAAGTGAGCTTTTTATTTACGCTGTAGGCTAACCAGAAAACAATCATGTGCATTGGGAGTCGAGAGAAGGAGGAAAAAAGGAGAAAAAAGTAAAAGGCGCAACAAAAGCACCATAAATGAACAAAGCCATCAGGAGTTGAGAAGGAAGGGTGTGTGAGTTGGGTTATTATGGCTGGTTTATTATAAGCAGGAAAACAGGTTAGAACCATGGTTAGAACATGTCAATAACAGTTGAATATAAATGTCAATAACATATAGTAACATCCTGGGTTATACTACAAAACATAGGGTGATAAAGGTTTCATTCCTACTTAAGAAATGCTATACAGTATAGCATTTCTTAATGAAACCTTTATCACCCTAAATAGTAAGAAAACAACTTGGCAGACTACTTTGAAGTTTCCTTTTAAAAGGCCATATCTGTTCCACGGCACTGCTGAGGCCACTGATGAAGTACAACATGAAGGTATGAATGAGCATAATAACCTATTAATATTCAGTTTGGAAAAGCCTTGGTCTTTCACTGTTCATGCCTCGCGGCAGCTTTTCAGTGAGCTTCTACTTATAATTTGATGAAATACAGATTTAATGCATTTGAAATCTTCATTTCTCCACCTCCTTTTTTGCTCCAGTGGTTCCATCACAGAGGTTATGAGAATCACACATTGCTTTAGCCCCTGGTTGTAAAGCCTCATATGGCGCTTTCAGTTTCAAATTTAAAATGTAATATTTTTCTCTACAGTATTCCGTATAATTGGAGGGTGTATAACAGTAATCTCATTAGTGTGTGCTCAAACGCAGATGGAAGTGTTTTTTTGTCTGTATATGTGTTAGTTACTCTGAACTAAACTTTGACCCCCTACACTTTGGAACATTTTCTGATTAAACTTTCAGAATCAGGACATGTCACCTGCTGCTGAGTTCTGAAACCAGGCTGGGATGCTTGTTTTCCCACGCTGGTATTTCATTTGTGCACGGGCCTCCTTTTGTGTGGCAGTAACGTAGGTATTGATAGACTGACAGCATGAGATGAGTGTCAGACGTATATGATGTTGTTTCAGTTTCTGTTTAATGCTGTCACTGTTGATACATGTGTTGGAGTTTCACAGCAGGGAGATGGGCAGTCTCTCTGGCCGGAGGCTCAAACTATTCTATCTCGCATCCATAAACCATACAAGCTGGGCAGAGCGCCCACTGCTGCCAACTACAAAAAGCTCTGCTCTGTGCCAAGCCTTGTAGCGCTACAAGCGTACGTACAAACACGTGCACGCATGTTCACACACAGAGCAGAGAGGCAGGGGAAGCCACAGCATGCACGAAACAGACAAATCACATACATCCATACCCTCTGTGTATACACACTAGGCGCTTGCAGATAGATTTTGTCATAATATATTAATTTCATAAACCACACTACTTCCCGCCTCCGACTGAGATACGAGCTGTCATGGCAACAGAAGAAAACAGCAGTTTCAGCATGAGGGCTGGTTTGTTGGGACAAGCTGCACCAGAGCAGAGGATTGAGATGCAGCAGAAGTCTGGGCTGATGGAATTAGTCATGAGTGTGTGTCCAATTACCACTCTGAAGTCGACAAAGGATATCCAAATAATGAAGAAAACCAGTACTCTTCGCTGTGCTTAAGAAGACCAAGTGTCACAGAAAATCCTGTAATCAACATGAAGAGAAAACTCCGGATACACATGTCGAAATGTGAGCCAATAATCTCACAGTAAAAGAGATTGTTGGCTCACAAAAAAGACCATTTTTTAAGAGATTATAATTAGCATGTAATTGTTTAATTTAAAGGGTGATTCAGAAAAGGAAAATGCAATAAGATCATGTGTCGATAACAAGACAACCGTTATTATCTCAGGAGTTATGAGTGTGCATCTGACCTGGAGAGATGCTTCAAATGCAATAGGGTTTTTGACAACTCCTAAAGGTCAAAGGGCAGCAGCTGTCCACAATTGCCCTTTTAAACCTTTCAAAGACCAAAGACATACATGTAGACAGGGAATGAGGTCAAGAGAGGGCTATGGGATAGAGCTACCTTTTGAATTCATCAGGGGAAGACAACTTTTACTACTGATGGACAACGCCTTCATAACTCAATTCAAGTTGCATGAAGTCATGTCTACAGCTTTCAAACATCCAACTCTGACTGGAACTATAACAATCACACAGGGATTTGACTCAACTTGTTGAAGTGGCGTCTTAA